AAATGAGCAAGCGAGATGAGCAAGCGTCAAGCAGATGATTATTATTTTTAAAGCTTATAAAATACAATAAAAATATAATTGATAGTTGAGGTAAACATTAGGTGATAAAATGTAAATGCGCAAATAGAGAGAAAACTGTAGTAAAACTTGAGGCATGGTGAATAGAGCGATCTTAAAAGATGAGAGAATCCTAGCAAATGTTCCAATCAGATAAGGCAGGAAACATGAAGCAAAGAAAACAGATGAGTGCTAAGCATGCGTGACATGACAAGAGTAAAATTATGTAACAGTGTGTTTTAAACCTTTGCCTTTTGTGGCCCCACGACTACCAACAGCTTCTGCAAAGTTTGGGTGACGGCGCCTGCGGGGAATGAATAAATCGAGTTAAACAGAAAAACGAAATGAGAAAAATTATTCCGCAAAAATAATTCCTTAAATTATTATAAATTAAATCCGGCACAATTTACGGTACACATCTTAATAAAACATTCAGCGGTTTTAATTAAAGAAAATTTAGATTGTTTGCAATATTCTTCTAATTTTCAGCTTTGTTCTCAATAACGGTAAATGTTTTGCACATTTTTATAAATCAAACCAAAGGAAGTTACTTAATGTTTATTTTCAATTTTCAATTTTCCGAAAATTTTTACAAGTATCGCGTTGGTTATACAGCGCTTGAGGTTATATTATTTTAATATTTTATTTGAATCGACGACATATTGTATAACATATGTTACGTTTGTTGGACTTACCAACTCCTTCTTGAAAGAATTTTGGCTTGTTTTTCCACGCGATGAATACGAGATAGACAGGTATGGAGGAGAGTATCATCAGACAACCGTATCCTAAGACAGAATTATATTTGCAAATTTTTCCTCATCATCGTCGTGAATTATTAACGATGGATACTCACCAGTTTCTACGGGACTCGCGTACATCGGAACAATCGTGACGAAGAGAGTAGCCAGGATGTAAAAGATCGGGAAGATGAGATTCACCTTAATCGGTCTCGACAAGTCCGGCTGACTCCACCTGAGCCATGGAAGGCATAGCACGGAAACGCCTATGCTAAGCTGTAAATTGAATTCAATTGTATTGAAATTAAATCTTAAAAAGTCAAAAGCATTTATAGATACTT